TGTATATCACTTTAGGAGCCCCTAGTATCGGAGTCCGAGGATGAGATATCAGCCTCGGGATATCCACTGAGCGGAAGCAGAGAAGTGGGAAAGTTTCGGTATGACAGAGCGTAGGGAACTACTTTCAGGAGCACGCCGGGAGCCGCAGCCTTTCACGTGGTCCGACTGCAAATGGATGCTCTATGTCCTTCCGGTAGGGCACCACTTACTTGTGATTCTTTGAGTCGTACGCAGTTGTAGTTGATAACTCTGTTGTTCTCAGTCTGACGGACATGATAGGATGTTCTGTTTTAGATAATTGTGTTGTTGGTGATGTTGAAGATGGGAGAAGAGGCATACCAGGAGATGGGAGGATGGTCGCTTGGAGACCAAGAGGAAGACTATTACCAGGTCATAGGCGATAAGGAACTAGGCACAGTAGATTCTCCATCGCCATCAATGAGCTTCGCTCGGATAGTGCATTTGCATTCGATCTAAAATAGAGATGTTCCGGCTATTGCAGCAATGGGGAGGGTCAATTGAAAGAATTACACCGAATGGAAACTCGTGTACTGCTGGCAGGGCCGGGCGAGCGCTTATTGGCTCATCGTAGAGGGTTTTGATGGGCTGTTGAATGGTCGCTGACAGGTGCTCAATGTTGATCCTAAGGCTAAGCACGGAGAGATACGGAATGCGTACAGGAAGTTGGCAATGAAGTGGCATCCTGATAGAAATCCTAACTGTGAAAGCTGCCTTGCACGCTTCCAGTCTGTGGCGAAGGCCTATGAGACTTTGGGAGATCAGAACAAGAGGAAGGTTTATGATACTAATAGAGGTGACCTCAGATGGACGGATTAGAAAGAAGTTTATTGAACAAACTAAAGAAAGAAAATCATGGGAGAAAAACAGAACATCGTAATTCGATAGGGTATACATTGGAGTTTCACCCGCTCTACGTGGAGTGGCTTAGTGCTCTGGGAGAAACCCGATATTTGCGCTATGCAGTAGTCGTGAAATATATTTTGTATTAGTGTTGTTTTTCATATCACGGGTGAAACTCCATTGCACGTAATTTCATATAAAATCAGTGGGAATCAGTGCCTCCTCGCCCTATTTAGAAGTGTCAGGTGGTTACGACTCCATACCAAGCGACTACTCTGCTCGACTCACGAGTGAAAACTATCATAGCATCATGGACCACTCAGTTGACATTTGGGTTGTCGAGGTAGATGGAGGACAGTTTCGGGGGGGAAGTTTCGAAGTGTTTAGGTGTATTCGGACTTGGATGAATATTGTCATAGTATAGCGCCAGCCTGGGATGAGGTCTCCAGTGATCTCAAGGGGTACATCAAATTCGGGAGAATCAACTCCCATACTGATCGAGCGGTGAGTACTGGGTTGAAGTATGTCCGAACGATACGAACCGCTCTTCATTGAAGAAGGGGCGAAACCGATGAGGGGGCACTGAAGACATGTGAGGTTG